CAGCCCAGCGCTCTGATTCTATTCTTTTTCACATGGATCATTCTCACAGGGGTGAAGTTATATCTCATCATGGTCTTGATATGCATTTCTCTTATGATAAGTGAAATTCAACATTTTTTCATAAATCTGTAGGCCATTTCAATGTTTTCTTTAGAAAAATGCCTATTTAGGTCCTTTGCACACATTTTAATAGTGTTGTTTCTGTTTTGCTAGAATGTTTATAAACTTTGTACATTTTTGGAGAAATGCCTCTTGTTAGCTATATAATGTGCAAATCTTTTCCCCATTCTCTACATTGTCTCTTTCTTTTGTGATGTTTTTCTTTTGAGGAACACTTTTTGGTTTGATATAGTCTGAATTGTTTATTTTTGCTTTGTTTCCCTTGTTGTTGGGGTTGAGTACCCAAATACCTTTTTGTGTTAGAGTTCCCTGTAGCGTGCCCCTTGTTTTCGCTCAAGTATTTCATGATTTTGGTTCTTACATCCAGATCTTTTATCCATTTTGAATAAAATTTTAATGGAGCTGGGCCTCCCCGGTTGCGCAGCGGTTGAGCGCTGGGTTGTGAAGTTGCCCGCTGCCTCTGCAGCACCGGTTCGATCCCCGGCTGCTCCCCAGCCACCGGAAGAGGGTCCCACAATGCACACAGACCTCTCCTACCACCCGCTGCTCCCCTCAGCAGTGTACTTCGGTCCTTCTGCCTGCTCTGCTCCCCGCTTTGGCTCTGGTGAATTCTCTCACCTTCCTGCGCTTCTGACTATACCCAGTGCTTGTATAAATAAATAAATAAATCTTTAAAAAAAAATAAAAATTAATAGAGTTAAATATGGTTCTTGTTTCATTTTTTGGCATGGCTATCCTTGTTTCCCAGCACCATGTATTAGAGTATATTTTCTCTATTGTCTATTACACCTTTGTTGAAAAAAATTCCATATTTATATGTATTTATCTCTGGGATTTCTATTCCATTAGTCTGAGGCCATTTTTTTTACAGTACCATACTGTTTTAATTACGATTGCTGTGTAATATGGTTTGAAATCAGAAAGTATGATACATCCATTTTCCTTCTTTCTCTCAGGATTCCATTAACAATTTGAGACCATTTTTGATGTCATATAAGTTTTATATTTTTTGTTCTATTTCTCTGTAACAGGTCATTGCTATTATGATAGGTATTGCACTGAACCTTTAAATTGCTTTAGGTATATGACCATTGTAATGATGCTAGTTCTTCCAATCCATGAGTATGGGGTATCTTTGCATTTTGTTGTGACTTATTTCCTTTAACATTGTTTTACAGTTTTCAATATGTATGTCCCTCACTTCATGCATTTGCTCCCAGTAAATTCTTTTCAACATGATTATAAATGGGGCAGTATTCTTAATTTCCCTTACTCTGACACATTCTATTCTGATTCTATTGATACTGGTTTCTCTCTACTTTGGAAACACAGCTAAGGTTTGTCAGTTTTGCTTAAGTTTTAAAGAACAAACTCTTGGTTTCACTTATATTTTGTACTGTGTTTTTTGTTTTCTATTTCATTTATTTCTGCTGAAACTTGTATTATTGTTTTCCTTTTACTGGTTCCTCTATGCTTTTGTTCATCTTTTTCTTGTTCCTTCACCAGTAGTGTTAGATTGTTATTTTGAGATATTTCTTTTTTTTTTAAATGTAGTCCTGTATTGCTATACACTTCCCACACAGAACTCCTTTGAGAGTATCCCATAGTGTCTGATAACTTGTTTTTCCATTTTCATTAGTGTATATATGCTTTTTATGATTTCTTCATTGACCTAATGTTGTTCAGAAACATTTTTTTTTCTCCTAGAAGCATGTTTTACTTTATTCCAGGATTCCTTTTGTGGTTAACTTCCAGTTTTATAGCATTGTGATCTGGATGCTTGATGTAATGTCTCTTTTGCATATTTCTGAGATGTGTTTAACATATGTTGTATTCTTTAGAATGTCCCATGTGCACTAGAGAATAAAGTGTATTATTTTCCTTTGGGAAGGAAAGCTCTATGAAAATAATCCAATATAAATGTAATATAGATGTTCTGACACTTCATTTGAGGCCTTAATTTCTTTGTAAATTTTCCCTCTGATGACCTATTCCTTCATGCCAGTGGTTTGTTGATGTCTTGGACAATTATTGTATTTCGGACAAAATGTTTTAAAACTATTAATAGTTGCTTTATGTAACTTGGTATTCCAGTGTTTGGTGCAAAAATATTAGCAAGTTATTATATCTTCTTGGTTAATTTGTTCCCTTGATCATTATATGTTGTCCAACTTTGTCCCTAATTACCTTTTTTAGTCAAAAGTATAGTTTATCTGATATGACCATAGCAAATCCTCTTCACTTGATTTTAAACCAACCTTTTCTTTTCAGTTTCTCTTTCAGGTTTAAATGGGTCTCTTGTATCAATGGCTAAATGTTTTTCACCCACATTGTCAGTCTATTATGCCTTTATATTGGTGAATTCAGACCATTCCCATTGAAGGTGAGTATTGATATAAACTTTATTATCAGTCATTTGTTTTTGACCTTTGATTGTTTTATTTTTCTATTGTTTTTCTATTTTTTTATAATTTTTTACTTTTCCATTTGTTTCTCTGCTTTTTCTAGGTGAGTATCTTTGGTATTTCTTTCAATTTCTTTGTTTCTTCAACCATGGGCCTCTAATTCTGGACTTTTGGTTAGTGGTTACCATGTGGGTTTTACTTAAATTCCTATGTCTGAAGTCTTCTATGAAGTGGTGCCTGCTCTCCAACATTTAATAGATAGGTTCTGTCCATTTCTCTCTCCTCAATATTTTGCTGTGGACCTATCATATTCTTGCTCATGCTTCTGGCTTTGTATCCCTATTGTCATTTTGCTTAGGAATTTGTGTTTAGTTTTTTTTTTTTTTTCTTACAGAAAGAAATTCTTGTGACATTTCTTGAAGGGCAGATCTGTTGCTGATAAACTCCATAAGCTCTGTTTGAGAAAACATTTACCTTCAAACTTGAATGATAATAATTCAGGGTAGAGTATTACCCTGGCTGGCAGATCTTGTCTTTTAGGATTGGTAACACTTGTTTCTTCTCTCATCTTTTCTATACAGTGTCTGGGGTGAAGTCTGAGGAATGTGAACTTGGGAGCCTTTGTATGTTACTTTTTCCTTATTTCCTGCAATTTTCTTTACCGTTGATGTTTGAGACTTTGGCAATTATGTGCCTAGATGTAGGTCTTTTTGTGTTTAAAATTTCAGATATTTTCTTTGTCTCCATATTTAATTCATTCTTTAGGTGTTGGAAATTCTCAGTTATTATTTCTTTGAATAGGGTTTCTGCTCCCATTTCTCTCTCTTTACCTGCTGAGATCCCAATTCTTAAGATGTCGGCTCCTGGGGTTGTGGGCTGATCCCCACAGGCTGTCTCCTCCACATGAGGTCTTGTCCCAGCTGCTCCTAGACCTTGTTCACCTCCTGTGCTCCTGCAGTGTCTTTAGCTCTTCCAGAAGCTCTGGAACTTTGGTCACCACCTGTGCTGCCATGGCGCCTTGTAGGGTAAATAAATGTTGGGTTTTTCTGCCCTCCCACCATTAGGATTGATGATGGATCCCTGCAGTCCTGAATGCATGCCTGATGGCGGGCACCTGGAGTGGGGCGTGGGCATACATAGGCAGGTACACCTGGGCTGAGATGGGGCCTATATGGGTGGCGTCACGGGGATGCCAGTAGAGACCTGAAAGAGTCAAGATTCGCTGGGGGCTGAGAGGCCTGCTAGCCTCCTGGCCAACCCAACACCCCTGCCTGCTGTGTACCTGATAAACTCAATAAAAGCCTGAAAAGCCACCAAAGGTTCTAGGACTCCACTTTCCCCCGTGTAGGGTAAGGAAAAATGTTAGGCTTTTCTGATCTCCCGCCATCAGGATAGATGATGGATCCTTGCGGTCCTGAATGCATGCCTGATGGCGGGTACCTGGAGTAGGGTGTGGGCATAGGTAGATGGGATTCACCTGGGCTAAGACTGTGCTTTTAAGGGCGGCATCACGGGGATGCCAGCAGAAGCTGAAAGAGAAGCCGAGAATGGACAGAAGCCAAGAGAGAAGCAGAGAATGCCGGAGAGCCCACATAGAGTGAAGACTTGCTGGGGGCTGGGAGGTCTGCCAGCCTCCCTGCCCCCCAGCACCCCTGCATGCCGTGTACCTGGTAAATCCCAATAAAAACCTGCAAAAAACCACTGAGGACTCTGACGCCTCCTTTACCCGGTCTGCTGGATCCTAGAAAACCTGCACAATGTCCAGTCCTGCCCCCTACACCCCATCTGCTTGGATCACAGATATCCTGCTCTGCTCCTTCCTACTGCTACAAGCCTCCAGTGTTTCCTAGATTCCATCTGCAAAGCTGTCTGCACAGAATCATCCTGCCAACCTAGGTATTGAGGTAAGCAAGTACAGAGTTATGGGGTGGGGGGGGAGGCATGAGGGCACAGAGGCTGGCAGGCCTCCTGGCCCCTGGGGAATCTTAGCTCTTTGGGCTTTCTCTGGCGTTATCTTGTGCTCTCTTCCTCTCACAGCCATCACTTGTCCTCTCCTAGCTGTTTTCCGCTATAGCTGCCATCCTATCGTAGCAGTTCTCTGTGTGTTGCCACCTTATAGCCTCAGTCTCCATGCTCAGGTGTGCCTACTCACGCATGCCCACAGCAACTCCAGGTGTCCACCACCAGGCATGAGTACCCCAGCCCACACTTCCAAGCACCACTTGCATTTAAGGCCACAGGTGATAGCCACAGAGTCCAGTGGCACCAAAGCCTGACTATTTCCTTTACCCTGCAAGGACTAAGTTGTGCTTGGTAGTTAGGAGGTACTGCACCCGAATGTGTGACACCTTGTTACTATGGCACCAACAATGGCTGTTGCTGCCTGCCCCACCCAACCTCTATGATGCTTTATGGGGCTGCAGTATCTGAGCCCTATTTTTGTTTTCCCAAGGCATTTGTGAGTTATAAGTCTTTCTCTCAGCTTTGGGCTTTTTATGGCATCTGGCCTGGCTCCGTCAGGTATATCTGATCTCTTCTGTGTAGAGGGTGAGGATGTTGCTTTCAGTGCCCAAACCAACTATGGAGTTTCCAATTTCCCAGGTCTGGTGTCCATAGAGTTCCCACTGCTCTGGGTAGGATCAGCCCACTCACATTTCAGCAAAGTTCCCTCAGGGAATTTCACAATGCCCTGGGCTTCCCCATTGTGGCTTGTGTTGTTGAACCATAGACCTTTCTGCTTGCTGGGATATCCACTCTCCTACTCATTCTTAGTTTTGCATTCCCTGATCGTTCACCTCAGATGCCACCAACATTAGTTTGAGGTCTCCATGGGAAAGAACTGTGACTATAGATGGAATGGAGCAAATGGATCTTCCTAAAACTAAAAGTTTTTTTTTAGGGGACAAGGTGATCTTAACCTCTATTTCATCGTTTTGTTGATGGAGTCCTTTATAGATATTTATGGGTTGGTAAACACAATACTTGAGCTGAGATGATAATGTAGCTTTCAGTGTTCTAGAAAATAGATGGCCTAAGATACTGTGTATACTTGCTGGAAACCCAGACAGAGGTTCAGGTCAGCATCACACATATTTCAGAATATAATCAAAAGCCACACCCATTTACCTTCCAACCAGACTCTAACAATGATATCATCAAGAGTGCCAGAATGTCAAGGAATATAAGTTTATAGACATGTGGTGTTTATGCTATCTCTAGTAAACTGTTTTAGAGAACATTAGTGAGTATAATTTGATGTGACAACTAGAATAAGGATAGAATTAGGGTCTCAGAGTCTGCGTGAAAATGAGTTAAGGGGAGACAACATTGGGGATAGAGGAGGGCCCAGATCTTCTTAATATATTCTTATTGTAGTCCCTAAGAGGGAACTTTTACTTATAAGAACACATTGTCGTGGAACACATTTATCTTCAACCTATTATTCATTTCAATGGAGGTGAATAATGATTGACTCTTGTTTCTTGTGAGTTGTGCAGAAGCAATGCAAACTGTACTCACTTGTTCTTTTGCTCAGCGCCGGTTCGTTCCCCAGCCTCCAGCAAGGGTCCCACACACACACACACACAAAAAAAGTGACAAAAATTTCAAAAAGAAATAAAAAGAAACCATTCTGTTAAATATTCTCTTATTTTTAATGTTTAACATATTTTATTTTATATAATTCTTACATCATTTTTTCATTTTTGCACAATGTATGCATTTTCATTTTGGTTATATTCCCTATACAATTGCACCCCCCTTATTTTGACCCTAGTCCTAATTCCTCTCCCCCACCCCCGTAGTGTATCTCTGGGTCTCTGGTTTATAGTTGCTTGTTGATTTTGATTTTTTCTTTATTATGATTAGTGTTTTTCCTGGTCTCTTATTTGGGTTTTTTTAAATTCCTGCTATGAGTGAGATTATCCAGTATTTTTCTTTTTCTTGCTTATTTCACTGAGCATGATCCCTTCCAGCTCCATCCATGTTTCTGCAAATTACATGGGTTTATCTTTTTTGATTGCCTTATTTTTATGTCATCAAGTAGCATAACTGACATTTTTAACTCAATTATTGTTCTTAAATTTATATGCCTAAATTCAATAGCTCTTATGGGAGATTGTAGGCCAATCCTTTGGTATTGCTGTGAATAGCAAACTCACGAGTCTATATATCAATCCACTTAAGTCTTTGTTTTAATTACATACAACATATTTATGATCTCTTTGATGCCAAATAAGCACTTTGAAAGTCCTAAGAGAAAATCCAAGCATCTGTCTGCTCTAAAAGTAATGACATCAGCAACAGATGAATAGTAAAGAACTTCTGCCAACTTAGAAGTAGTATGTGGATGCAGACAGAACATATGAAGACTCAGAGGAATATTGTTTTATCACAATTCATTGTGGATATATCTAATTCAATGTGAGACTTCCCCCACACTGTTCAACCCAATAAGATAATGTATATTATTAGAATAGAGCCAACATCTACAATACTATTTTGTAGTTTCCAGATGTATTCTTAGAAAGATAAAACTAGCTTTAACAGGTACCTCATCATGATTTGCAAGGTTCAAAACTTGGAAATATGAAATAGCAGATGAGTTTCTTAACCTTTTACCTTGGAACTCGGGTTTAGTAATAAATGACTGTAGTGCAGCCACATATGAAATCCACTATGCTTTGGTTCAATTTATTGAAGCTTAAAGGTAGAATTTTAATAGAATTTCAAAAACTAACTCAGACAAATATTATACTATAATGTTGCTTGTACGTGTTATGAGATTTCTATGGTTGCACTAACAAAATACAAAAGACTAGATGGCTTCAACAACAGAAGTGTTTTTTCTTACAATTTTGGAGACTGTAAGTCCAAGATAAAATGTTGGCAGGTTTGGTTTCTCTGTCCTTGGTTTGCAGTGGCTACCTTCTCTTACTGTCAATCCATTCGTACTTTCAATTGTGCACACACATTCCTGATGTCTCCTTTTTTCTTAAATGGAGACAAATCTTATTAAAATAGGAAACTATCCTTATGACCTCATTTAACCTTTATCTTTTTAATGGTCCCATCTCAAATAGAGTCACATTGAGAGTTAAGGTTTCAATCTAAATATAAATTTTATGTATACAAAATTTAGTCCATAATATTACCTCTTTTACAAAGTGAAGTATTTATAATTTATTAACAATAAATTCATTATATTTGGTCTCAAGTTCAAAGCTTTAAAATATCAATGATTATTTATAGCAACAATGAGAAATAAAAGTCACAAATTCAGGATTTGTTAAGAATAGAAATAATATGCATACAGGAACTGGGGTGCAGGCCAGAGATGCAGGGTGAGAGGATTCACCGGAGACAGAGTGGGGAGCAGAACAGGCAGATCTACTGAGATACACTGCTGAGGAGAGCTGCGGGAGAGACAGGAGAGGTACTATGCCATGTGTGTTGGCTCCCTGGCAAGGGATTGAACTTGTGCTGCAGTGGCTGCTGATAGCAGAGACTTAACCCCTTGCGCCACCAGGGAGGACACCTATACAATATAGTTTCTATGTGGATATACATTTTCAGCTTACTTGAGTACATACCCAGAAGTGCAATCACTGTGTTATATGGTAAAATTGTGTTTAACTTTGTGAGAAATGGCCAATCTGTCCTCCAAAGTGGCCATGCCATTTTTCATTCACACCAGCAATTAAAAAGCGTTTCTGTTGTTGGGACTCCCCTAGTGGCGCAGCGGTTGAGCACTGGCCTGCGAAGCTGCCCTCAGCCTCTGCAGCGCCGGTTCGATCGCCGCCTGCTGGGGAGGGTCCCACATGGCACGACAGACATCTGCCACACCTGCTGTTCCCTCAGGAGTGTACTTCACCTGTCTACCTGTTCTGCTCTCCGCTTTGGCTCTGGGGAATTCTCTCACCATCCCACGCTTCTGACTGTACCCAGTGCTTGTATAAATAAATAAATAAATCTTTTAAAAAAAAGTTTCTGTTGTTCCACATTATTGTTAATATTTGATGTGGTCACTGCTTTGAATTTTAACAGCCTTGGAGGATATTGTTGTTTTGTGTTGATTCGTTTTGTAATCCCCTAATAAAATAGTGTTTTAAACATATTACACATATTTAGTTGGTGTATTTATGGTGAGAAATCTACTATTTTATGGTAAGAATTCTATTCAGATCTTTGCCTATTTTTTGATGTTTTCTTATTGTTGAGATTTAAGGGCCCTATGTATATTTTGAATAAAGATTCACCATTAGATAAACTTTTGCAAATATTTTTAAAAAAGAATAGAAATAAGACACAAATAAAAAACCAGAAATGGAAATTTCTAATTATTCTCTAAGTATTATTATATTATTTAACAAAAATAGTTAATGCAAAGTTCCTACATATCAAAATATAAACATAAAATTAACATTATAAGGAGTAAATATATTAAGGGAGATGAAAAAATTGGCATAGGCTAATAGTAATCCACCTTAATTATTCTAAAGCACACTAAGTATGGGGTTCTGTGGATAGAAATAAGTTAAGCTGCACAAGGAGTAATTTTTGTGCATGTGCACAAAATGCTTTCCAAGCATATATGTATATTCTCTTAAAGTTAATGATATTCAATCTCATTTTAATCCATTATTGAATTTATAGCAGCATTCTGTCTTTGTTATTTTCTTTTTCAGACAAATGATATTCAAAAGACCCTAATAATATATGGCAGTTTGCAAGCCTCATAAATATGCACAGGTAAAAAAATGAAACCTAATAATCTTTGGGAACATTGAAGTCCAAATAGCTTTATAAAGGCAATATAAAACTTGGTGGATTAATATGGTCAATGAAAATATTTTAGAAATTGTGGGACTTAATGCAGATTATTGATGGATGCATTGGAGGATTCATAATTTTATAATAGAGATGAATATACATGAGCATAACGGTGTAGTGAAAACATTCACCCTCACCTGATTTATAATGGACTATTTGTAAGAGTAGAGTAATTGGGCCAAAGTTTCATTGAGGAAAAAAAATGATCAAAGCCTTCAATACTCAATGACCTGAGTCAAATCTTACCCTGAAGAAATGGGTATATTAAAAGAATTTTAGCAATAAAATGCCCAAAACAAACAACTTATTAAAGATCATGTATCCACTCCTTATTTTCCAGTAACAATGGACTAATTTTTCTTCCAGGACTATTCCTATGAGTCCTTTGGAAATGTGGCATTTAACTTACCCTCCAAAGTCCAGGCATAAGCATTGAGCCCAGGGCTTACCAACTGATAATATCCTTGTGGCCGGAGATGAATTCTTGGCCCAGTTAAAGCCAGTATGACAGCACGAGGAAAATCTATGGAACATTTGGAAAGAGATAATCTCATTATCCTAGATTTTAGAGTGCGTGAAGATCTAAACCTCACTCACATGAGATGCTTAAAGTCACCAACAGAGACTGCTTGAGAAAGAAGATGGAGAGACATAGATTACAGGTATTGCTTTTGAGTGCCTTGATACATCTGTTACTAAATATAATTTTGCCACAGTAACATAAAATTATATCAGCTAATAAATTATCTTTTTTATTTAAATCAGTTTTCAGAATGATCCCTGATATTTGCAATCATCGGATGTCGTTTTAACTCACTCATAAAATGAAAATGTAGGATTGTGACCAAAACAAACAAACAACAACAACAACAACAAAAAAAAAACCCCACACATAACTGAAACCCATGGTCTGTAACTATGGGAAGAGAATACTCTTAAGTGTGTGTTACTCCAATGATTTACCACTGAAAAAGGAAAACATTTCCCCAGCGGGGCACTTTCTTTAGAGAAAATGATGGGTGGAGTACAGAAACCATGGAACCGGGAATTTGTTTAACAGACAGCATTGGAAAGAAGAATAACCAATCTCATAAAACACAGCTAAATATGGGACCTGGACCAGGAGCCTAGGGAAGGTGATCAGTCATAAATTTATGGTGGAAACACAAAGTTTATTATTGAGAATATGGTTTTTGTATCATTAGAATCTAAAAGGGACCAAAGAAACAACATCTTGAAGAAATCTAAGTGCTTGAAGAGTAATGTAGTTTCTTGCACATAAGAAAGAAACATAAAAACATGCATGATTCAGTGCATTCAAATTTATGAATTTGAAAAGAAAATAAAAGAAAAACAAAGCACACACCAGGAAAAAAACCTCTCTGCCTCAGTTAGGCATCACTGTAGCCTTTAAAATACTTAGAGTGTGCCTTAAATCACTGACATTATCTTCCCTAAAAATTCATAAGCAAGCCTCTAGGCACTAACCACATTTCCTAAGTCTCTGTTGACAGTGTTGCTAAGTATCTGTTGACACTGTTGAATCACAGAGATATAAGATATGAAATGCAAGACTTCTCAGCGCTAGGCAACTGCAAGCTCACACAAATGTGCAGAAGAAGAAGAAAAAAGATAACAGTGGAAAACTGAACACTCTTGCTGACCAGCCAAGCTCATTTTCTTCTGATAGCCTTATAAAAACCCTATCTGAATATTCAAGATGGTTTCTTTAGGATGTGAGTCTTCATCTCCTCAAAATAATTATTTTCTAAAAAACCTCGCTTTCCTACCCCCCCAACTCTTGCCTCTCATATTTAACTTACTGGTGGCAGGTGGCTGAGCCTGGTGTTTTGTTGTTTGTATTAATTCATCTTTTTTTATCTGTGACATTAAATAACTTAATAGAATCTGATAATATCTATAAAATGTGCATTAAATGAATATTTTTGCTTTCTATTGCTAAACCAATTACAGAGCACATTTTAACTCAGGCTTCATATGAAAATTTTAAATTTAAAGTCTATTAAATGATAGGCTTAAATTGTATATTTCCAAAAGAATTTTGAAAAATAAAGGTACTACTATTCACAAATTATCTTCAACTATACTGCTGAAAGCTAGCTGTTTTGTGTACCACTAATCTGATAAGTCAGTTAAAAACAATCTGTATTGGCAAAGGAAAAGACTTAAGGGATTAAAATGGAATCACTTACACCGGAAAAGGAAACTAATGGAAAGACAAGAGCATGGATACCACTGGCTTCCTAGATAATTTGTTCCAGTGTCAAAGCTGAACCAGCAACATTGATATAGTTAAAATCTCTGGGTTAATAAAAGAACAGAAAAATAGAAAGGGGTGTGTGTGTGTGTGTGTGTGTGTGTGTGTGTGTGAAAGAGAGAGAGAGAAAGAGAGAGAGAACACAACAGATAAACAAGAATGGACTGAGGAAAGAAAGCATTCATTGTTGCAATATGTTATACATCTATATATACATAAACTTTATATATTGCAGGTGATTGGAAAATGCTTGCTTAAATGTAGTCATAGGTAGATAGAAAGTTTACTTTCCTGATAATATTATATTTAAGAAAAATTATTTGGTTTGAAAATGCTGACATTCTCTCAATCACCAAGCATATCTTTTTTGGATAGTTGTATCACAGAATAAACATAAAAATGAAAAAAAAAAAGTTGATTCAGGTATGCCTTGAGTTGTAATATTTCTTTTCATATTTCAACGTTCATAGTAAAGTCGATCTACCAAAAATATTGTACTTCTGAAACAATTGACTCTAAATGGGAATAATTTCTTGAGAAACTTGAGTTAAAATAGCAAATAAATTTCTAGGATTAATATAAACCTTAGCCAATACATTTGCCTCTTGTCTTAAAGGCAATAGTCAGTGTAAGACTTTTCTTATGTTGTCAAGCTTGGCCAGAGTGTAGAGATAGACAAAACTAATTAGTTGGAAATTGTTTTAGCTTTAAAGCTATTTTTTCATGCACTGTGAGACTAATCCATAAAATAAGTTGATTGAGTCGCTGGGGAAAAGGACTGTGTAATGCCCACATGTAACCATTGGAGCTCTAACTTCTAGTTTTCTTGATTTTCTTCAGATCAGGTATTCAGGATAACTTATTTTTAGCAGATTCAGTATTTCTCTTAATGTTTGAAATAATTTGGGTTGAAAGCATTAAGGTAGTTCTTATGTAGTAAAGATAACAGATGGCATTCTACTTTCAATAAAACTATAAGGAAGCAAAAGCAACAATCATAGGTTAAGGGAAGAGAAATTAATTACAGGAGATACACATAAACACCCCTTAGTGGTTGGGTGTGAACCAAGAATAATGATGTGATCCCTGCCTCATGTACCAAATTCCTCAGGGCAATGATGATGGGCTGCCTAATGCTTAATGAAATATTTCTGTTGCTTCTGAGGATGCTGATAAGATCCTATGGCTTGCTTTAAAATAAGAACAGAGGAGAGAACAATTCCTCCAGAAATATCAACAGTCTTGATTGACCACCCCTAGACTGCCTGGTGCCCCTGAGAATGAAGACATACTCCTCAATCCTGCATGTTCCCACATTCCTTACTTTCCTCTATGTCTTCTTGCATTTGCCACTCCAGGGGCGATTGAGTGTAGGCTCTGCTGTCCTCCCAGCAGGGCACTACTTGCTCATAAAATGGGTCCTCCATGCTCTCGTGGCTCAGAGTTTTGCTTTCTGATTGTGAGCAATACAACCAGGTTAGGTTGATAACAAGAGTAAAATAAGAAGTTGCAGTTTTATTTTTTTTTAAAGATTTATTTATTTATTTATACAAGCACTGGGTACAGTCAGAAGCGCGGGAGGGTGAGAGAATTCACCAGAGCCAGAGCAGGGAGCAGAGCAGGCAGAAGGACCAAAGTACACTGCTGAGGGCAGCAGTGGGCGGCAGGAGAGGTCTGCAAGCCATGTGGGACCCTCACCCGGTGGCTGGGGAGCAGCCGGGATCGAACCGGCGCTACAGAGGCTGCAGGCAGCTTCGCAACCCAGCACTCAACCGCTGCGCCACAGGGGAGGCCCAAGAATTTGCAGTTTTTAATAGAGACATTTTATGTGCCAGATACTGATTAGTACCCTTATGTCCTTCCAGAAATTTTTTTGGAGAATGTGTGTGAAATAAATGAAAGCCAATCAGAAATAGCTCTATTTTCAGGAAATGGACTAGAAATTTTGGAAAACATGTCTAAGAATAATTAAAAACTGTGAAAAAGGGATTTAAAAACATTTTTGACTGCATAAAATTTAAGAAGAGAAAGAATAATAAGATTAAAATTGAGAGAAAAGAAAACCTAACTCAATGAATCCAGATTTGGGAGCATAGCAGAGATAGTCAAGAAGCTGAGAAGAACTTTCAACAGGTCACAAGAAAGACAAGAACTGTAGTTGAGGTCAGTCTGGATTGGGGAAAAGCAGCTAAAACTCAGATTTGAGGTTAGGACATCAAAGATCTTCCTCTAAGAATAAGGAGTAAAAGTGAAAAATTGATCTTGGGAAGGACTGAAGACTGCTTTCAGTTAAATATGGGAAGAGTTGGCTGCCATCAGTAGAAGAAAAGAATCAATTAGGTGAGTTTCCTGTAGCTCTTATGGGACTTGGACTATGTTAGCCCTAATCATTTCATTCCTTATGTCTTTTTAGTTTTCTTTGGTACTTAAAAATTCTTTAGTTGTTAGGATTTCATTTAATATGTGTTTCTAATCTGCTACTCTTTCATTCTTTTTTTATATATATATTTATTCATTTAATTTATTTATACAAGCACTGGGGTACAGTCAGAAGCGCGGGAGGGTGAGAGAATTCACCAGAGCCAGAGCAGGGAGCAGAGCAGGCAGAAGGACCGAAGTACACTGCTGAGACGAGCAGCGGGAGGCAGGAGAGGTCTGCGCACCATGTGGGACCCTCCTCCAGTGGCCAGGGAGCAGCCGGGGATCGAACCGGTACTGTAGAGGCTGCGGGCAGCTTCGCAACCCAGCGCTCAACCACTGCGCCACCGAGGAGGCCCTACTCTTTCATTCTTAATTCCAACCATTATACTATTTAGGTCTTGAAATTCCAGAAGAGTATAACACATTTCTCTTATTTGCTCATAAAACCAACAGACATAAAAATCAGTAAGTATATAGAATATTTGAGTAACACTATGAAACAATTATATCTAATGATCATTATTCCTCATTATAATTCTCTGACGTTTGTCCTATTATTTGTCTCTCCCTTATTTCACTTAAAGAAAATATTAGGTAGAGTTTAAAGAGGTTAATGCACTTGATTATTCAGCTAGTGAATGGTAGAACTAGAATGAGAAACCTAGGCCCATATTCTTGCCTTCTACAACATCCTGCTTGCCAGAGACACATGTGAACAAAGTAGGGATATAAATTTGTTTCATAACACTTGGGTATAAATAAATGCCATGGTTTTTTTTTTTTGTTTGTTTGTTTTTTACATCAAAGCATGACTAACTTTGAACTTCTTCATACAATGAAAAAAAAGTTCCTTCCTTGTCCACCTCAACCACTTTTTCTTGGATATCTGCAAAGAAGTTTCTACACATAATAGTAGGAATTTTACTTGGGGAAGCAAAACAATATGGGTCTGGTAGAGGGAACGTCTATGAATGTAGGACAGGCATTGTGGAATCACAGAGCATGAATCCAGAAAGCAAAAACCTGCAGTGTAGCTGGATCATAAGACCAGAGAGGAGTAACAATAAGCTGAAAAAGAAGGCTGAAACAGGGAAGATGAGTGGAACCATTAATTGGGATCACAATGATCCCTTATTAGGGAGCTTTGGCTTTTTTCTGTAAACACTGGTTTCCAAATTTTTCATAAATGTGGAACCTCTTTTCACATCATTAACCATGGTAAGCTCAGTGTTCCTACATTGTTTGTACAATATACCCTCTTAGAGGGAACTAGCTGCCCTTATTTCCACTGAAAAAACAGTAGTAACTTATTCTTCCCTCCCCTATCTTCCAACTTCAACTACCTCAATAATTATTTCATTAATAAGCATGGAAGCCATTCAGAAGACTGAGTTTTTTATTTTTCTTCTTTGTTTTGTTTGAGCAATTTGGAAAGGTGATTTTTTCCTTTATTGTTAAAAATGCTAAGGACAGTGTAAACTGAAGTTCCTTGCAACCATCTTCCCTTCTATACTGAGAAAGCATTACATTTAAAAAAGCCTTCTATACTGAGAAAGAATTACATCAATGAAGAAAGAGAAGCAGAGGTCAAAGAAGACAAGAGAAGGTATAAACTTAAACTTTAAATCTCTAAATTTAGTCATTATATAGAAAGTCCTACCCTGTCAATATTTGTGACACAATCTTGCAAATGTGTCTTAGGCAAATTATTTTTTATGACAATGTAGAAAATGTTTGATTTGTGGTCTCTGTATAATAAAATTATTAATTATCTTTTTCAGCATCAAGATTCCATGTATTGGAATTAAAGGTATAAGCCACAGAAATAGTAGGAAGTGAAAAAAAAAGAGAAAAAGTAGGAAGTGAAAAATTCATGACAAAGGTAAACATAATGGTTATAACGGACACTTACCATTGTTACCAATTAATTTATCATGTCAAAAAAATGACTGAATTAGTTGAACTACATTAACAGACATATTCAATAAATATTTCCTGTATGTTTAAAAAGGAAAAACATCTTCAGTTAAAACAAACAAAAAAAGCTGGAAGATTTAGGAGAATGTCGTTGCAAATTATCTAAGCTCTTTCAGAAATATTTTTTAGTTCATTTTTTCTACCCCCTGCTAGTCTAAATATATATAACTTTAACTTTTTTAAAATTCAAAATTAACATTCTATGA